AATAGCCCTCTCGATTGGGTTTTCTTTGTGTAATAAGTTTACCCCCCCCCCCCCTACTACCATTTTTTTCTTCCCCCCCCCCCCCTTTTTAGTATTAGGTGGGGCTTCAAGAAACTTGGTTTCTTGGGAGGCTTGGCCTATGTGGGAGGCAACGGAATAAACCGTTGGCTCCCCCCTCAGGGATTGACCTTCCGGATCCCGAGGGGTTTGAGGGTCGTTTCCTCGGCCCGAGACATCGTCTGTTGCCTGCCCCCCCTTGGGGGATGGCGCGGAAAGCGCCTCGGTTTTGAAAGTCGTCCCCTCAGCCCGAGACATGGTCTGTTGTCTGCTTCCCCCTGGGGGATAGTGCGGGGAGCATTTCGTTTTTGAAAGTCGAATCATGGGCCCGGGACATGGTCCGTTGCCTGCCTTCCCTTGGGGGATGGCGCGGAAAACGTTTCAGGGAAAGGTTTTATTTGTGTACGAAACACAAATGGCCGGGGGTAGTTGGTACCTGCCGGAGCCGAGGGGTAGTATACCCCCCATTTTTTTAATATGTAAGTATGCACATGAAGTAGTGTGTGTGCATGGGGATCGCGCGAGAAGCGTTTCGTTTGTGAAAGTCGAATCCTGGACCCCAGACATGGTCCGTTGCCTGCCACTCCCTTGGGGAATGGCACGGAAAGCATTTCAGAGAAAGGTTTTATTTGTGTGTGAAACACAAATGGCCGGAGGTACTTGGTACCTTATGGGGCCGAGGGGTAGTGATCCCCCGTCTCTCTCTTTTTGTTTTTTTAGATGAGGGGATTTGGAGTGCGTTCTCAAGGGAACGGCTTGCATGAGGCTCTTATGTCCTCATGGCTAAGGCACTTGGTGTCATGGTGTAGTCGGCGATATACTCGCCCCTCAGCCTCGGCACCTGGCGCGGAGGGCTAGGTTGGGATGGTGGCGAGGGAGAAAGAATTGTTTTTATTTTTACAAAGGCCTTGGGCCGGGAGAAGCTTGATTAATTCTAAAGCCTTGGGCTTAGGGTAAAGAGGCGATTTGGCAAAATTTTCTTAAGGTGTTATATATATAAATATATATTAATAAATAACCAATGGTGATAGTAATAGAGTATAACTGCTGCTTGGGGCCTGCGGATAGGAGGAATTCATCTGGCCGAAGGGTCCCTCCTTCCTTGAACTTGACCTTGGCTAAGAGTCTAGGGTTGCAATGTGCTCATGGGATGGTGATGGGGGCCTTATGCCTAGGGCCGAGGGGGCCATGACTGAAGATTCTTGGGGGATTAGTGATTAGTCAACGGTCTCAGAGGACTGTCGAGGGCGTGGTACCGCCGAATGGCACCGTGTCGTGCCGCCGAAGGGCACCTAGTGGTGTCGCCGAGGGCCGCCGAGAGCTTTTGACTGGATGGGTGGGTCTCAGATTTGGGAGCTTCTGGAGTGGCCACCACTTTGGTTACAATTGGGGGCCTCTCAGGAGGGCAGTGAGGAATCAAAGCTCTGACCAAGGAGTTCCAACTTGGCCGAGGGCACTTTGGATGGGAGCTACGTCCTCCCACCCGGATAGTGAATCGGGAGGGTCTCACTTGATGTGTTCATCCATTTTGGTAGGTGTTTTTTGTTTGGTGAAGGGGAGAGTTTCTAACTTGATTGTTCGGACTCTCAACGAGAGCACCAAATGATGGATAGTGTACCCGGGGGTAACTTATCCGAGGGGTTATTGCAGGGAATAACCTAGAGAGAAGTCAGAGCAAGCAAGTAAGAGAGAGAGAGAGCCAAGTATATTAAATGAACTTGTTCTGGGATCCTTTACAAGAGGAATAAGGGCTGCTATTTATAGCAGCCATAAATTGAGATGAGAGTACACGTGTCAACAATCTGACGGCCGAGGGGTCACCTCAATCGGGGTGGCACCGACACTCGCATGTGCACCGCATTAAATGCGGTGGGTGGATGTGACGCCACATTGAATGCAGTGGTTTCTTGTCTCCAGAGGAAGCTTCATAGAGCGTAGACCCTTCGGTCTGGATCATATGGCCGAAGGCTTCATGTATGGCCGAAGGCTTCATGTACGGCCGAAGGCTTCATGTATGGCCGAAGGCTTCATGTGTGGCCGAAGGGTTCATATGGCCGAGGGCATGACATAGCCGAGGGGTACTGGCCGAGGGGTGCCGAGGGCATCATAACCGAAGGGTACCGAGGACATCATAGCCAAGGGGTGCCGAGGACATCATAGACGAGGGGTGCCAAGGGCATCATAGCCGAGGGGTACCGAGGACATCATAGCCGAGGGGTGCCGAGGGCATCATAGCCGAGGGGTACTGAGGACATCATGCCGAGGTGCTGCCGAGGTCTTCCACTGAATGTCTGGATTACATGAGTATGTGGGCTAGGGGGCCCTGGATCATATACTCCATCACCACTTTATCAAGAATATGTTACACTTTGTATCACTTGGAAATGTAAATAAATATTTTAATTTGAATTCCCAGTTATGTAACAGTAACACGTCTGTATTTAAAAAAAATCTGGAAATCTAGTAGTGGAAAATAAATAATATTTATTTATTATGGTATATGCATTAATGATCAATCTCTTTTTGGAAACGTAGTGATAACTGATGAGAGATTTTTAAGGGATGAATATTGATGCATCGTAAAGGTATATGAAAATTACATGAGTGCCCTCTGATTATAATGGTGTTGCACGTTGCTATAATTAACACCCACAGTTTCGAAGTTCTTGCTAACGTGACTCTCCATTTTGAAAAACTATTGGCCATCCGATTTGAATGATTAATGGAGATGTTCTTATAGGACTTCAAACACGCGAGGCAATATACCAAGGGCTTTTTCGGAAATTTAAAAGATCGGATTACGGTTGATTTCACTGCACGATCTCATCTTCCCGAGATTTCTGCCATTTCCCTTTCTGAAAAACCTCTCACTTTTTCAACTCAGAGGTGTACGTACTAGTAGATTTGTGCGACAAAAAGAAGATAGAGGAAGAGTAGTAGTAAAGCAATTCAGAGAAGTTGCTGATAGTTCGGAATTGCAAAAATGGCGGAAAAAGTGATCGAAAAAATGTTATCGCAACAAAAGGTAAGGAAAAAAGTGATATACGTTTCTGTAAAAGATGAAATTTGTATGATAGTAGTAATCCTATAAAACTTCGAATGTACAATGATAATTAACTGAAAGTGATGTGCAATTGTGGGAATTGTTGTTATTTGAGTTCAATGGTGAAAGATTTTGAACGGAATAGAAAAATATGGACATCAAATATTCTGTTCATTGTCATTGTGATTTTTGTCCTGTTTTGTTGAAAAAGAAAATGTGCAGCTACGACATTTGACTTTACAAAAGTTTGTTGTGTGTGGGAGAAAAAGTGAGACGTACAATAATTGAGGTGATAAAAATTGGGAATGAAATGTAAAGGGGTTGCATAAAACGTGAATGTGTATTCTGAAATGCAATGTATTCAGGGTGTAAGAGAAACAAATAAAAGTGATGCATAGGAATGTAAAGTAGCACATAGGCATGTAGAGGAGTGTAGCAGATAAAATTATGTGTAATACTATTTTGACAATAAATGATGCATATTTAGTAGGATCATTGAAATACACAGAGGAAAATTAAAATGCATTTAGTTTTAACCTGTGTAGTATTTACATTATCAGTTGTTTGATTAGAATGTAAGCAAATAAGTAAGTGGTTTGTGAAAACATGCATATTTTGTAAATAATATTGTGTGATTTGAATACTTAAGGAATGGGTAGAATACGATAATGTGCAATAAAGGGAATAATAATAGAAAAGATATGTGCAATGTAAGTTGATTTGTGTGATTGAATAAATGGAACAAGTCTTATGAAAGGCATGCTAGTATTTTGACATTAGAGACTTGGCAAAGGGAACTATGGTAGATAAGTATGGAGACAATATAGAAAGATTGATAAGAATGGCAATCTGTGTGAAATCCCAATGAATATATAGTACTCGTATGAAATTGTTGCTTTTGTGTATAAATGTGCAGCACTAGTATTTTGTTCACAAAATGAGAGCCTTAGGCCTTCAAAAAAGGTAGAGATGATTACAAAGCTAAAGCCAAGACCATTGAACATGGCATGGCAAGAGAAGAAAAATGTGCATGACTTTGGAGTTTTTGCTATGGGGCACATGAAGACTTATAAGGGAGAAGGAATACAAGGATGGGAGAGTAGGCTGAAAAAAGACAAAAAGAAGCAGATAGGTGTGGTGAGAGTGAAATATGTAGCTGCAATTGTGCTATCAGAAATTAATGTTAAAAAATTGGAGAATCTGAAATAAGAACGAGAATATGCAAAGGGAAAGTGAATTGGGAGAAGAAATAAACAATGTTACTTGTTCGATGCTCATTTTGAATGTATTGAAAGTTTTTTTCTTAGGTTTTGATGTTATGTAATGTATTGAGAGATGTGTTTGGGAACACATTTAAAGCTTGGTTATTTTCAAGGAACACATTAAAATTGTTTAGTGGATTTATCTTATTCTTGTCTCTCAATAGTGTGTTTGATTTGCAGGTTTTTAGTAATTATATATAATAAGGAATGAAAGAATGTGGTGATTGTTGATAACTTTATAAACTAGTGTACATATTCATATTGTTATATGTTTGCTGTCAGAAAGAATATTCATATGGAAAATGGATGGGTGTTCTACTGTTCTTAGAAAACTTATGTAAACTAAGGTGGGTTAAAAGATAAGTTACAAGTTGTTTTGTTGGACATAATGCAAAATGGATGGGTGGTCTGTTGGACATAATACAAACTGAAAGTGTGATGGAAATGTAGGTTAGCTAAAACACACAATTCAGTCATCAGTTAAGTTTGCAACTATAACTCAAAAGGTTGCAATGCAGATAACAATAAAAGCAAAGCTAAGGACAATGTTAGCTTATAAAAAGTTAAATAACTGGATCACATTTACAATTAGAATTCTAAAAGTTGCAATAATGAGAATAATAACAACAAAACTAAGGGCAATGTGAGCATTTAATTAACTGAACACAATTAAGTGCTATACTTCTGCAAATCAAAATTTATAAAGATGCAATGAGTATGATGAATCAAAATTACATAAGCTAAGTGTTATACTTTTGGACACCAAAATTAATAAAGATGCAACAAGTATGACGAATCACTAGAAATTAAACACAAGTCATTGTACAATACTTCAAACTTGATTTAAATTACAAACAAACCAATAAACTATCTAAACTTCTTTGTTTGAGGGACAATTTCGACTATCGTGATGACTCAATTTCGGCAATCTTTTTGCTCGTTTCTTTTATCAATGGAGACCTCCTTTGCACCTTTAATTCGGTGACCAGGATCCTTATTCTTGGACACTTGTGGAGAAAGAATAGACACTTTCGTAGGTGCAGATAAGCCATAAGTACCTTGATATCACAAGAAAATGATAAGCAGTTCCTACAAGAAAAATATAGTCACGAATGAATGCACACAATATAATAGGCTGTTTTAATGTGCACAATATAATACAAATGTTGCAGCAAAATGATTAATTCTAACAACAAAGACACAGAAGAAAGATGACACCGAAAACAATATTAGCTGGTTACACTAATGACAACATACAAAAATCATATTCCATAATCCAAAATCACGATCATTTAAAGTAAAGGAATAAGGACAACAAAATTAATGCAAGTATAAAACTTGTACGTATCACAGAAATACATCAACATTTAGAAAACGCAAGCTTAATAGACAAAGGATAATGCAGAAAAAATTACAAAGCAATACATATAATGTTCATGTGGACACAAAATACATCTCTTACACAAAACTAATAACGTCAAGTTTCATGATTTAAATGAAAGCTTTGAAAATTAAAAACAACATATATATATTAAACGATAACTGTGAACTTCTAAATCACAAAGAATAAGGGATTTACATAAACAAACACACAAACACGTACCAGACTCCATAGTATTAGTGCTACGGGAATCAGTCTGCGAAAGACAAAAATTCTCCAACTTCGAGTAAATGTTCAGATGCCTTTGTTGAAAGTCCACAATTTGGATGTTCGATGTAGCGGTTACCATATTCGCAATCAATCGTAGAAGATAACCAGAGAGAGGAAAGTGTGTGATGAGCGGAAGAAGAGGAGCGAACGTGAATGATGAAATAACTGAAATGGGTAAAATGACTAAAAGGGTCCATATATATAATTCGGTATAACAGCAGCGATTGATGAGATGAAAGGCTGAGATATATTCTTACTTTGCATATAAGTAGGTCTTTTTATTTGATCCACCCTATATATATATATATATATATATATATATATATATATATATATATATATATATATATATATACACAAATGATCCTGTCCAGACGTCCGGACAGGAACCGCCGTCCGGCCGGCGGCGTTTGGCCGCCTTCCCGGTGGAATTTTTTGATGAAATTTTTATGGCATGTTCTCCATCAAGTCTAGTTTATCCACAAAAAAATTCAGCCAAAAACTCAATCGGGAAGGTCGTCAAATGATTTTTGCAAGTTAACTGGTCCGGAAAATACATATTCCGGACCAGTTAACTTGCAAAAATCATTTGATGACCTTCCCGATTGAGTTTTTGGCTGAATTTTTTTGTGGATAAACTAGACTTGATGGAGAACATGCCATAACAATTTCATCAAAAAATTCCACCGGGAAGGCGGCCAAACGCCGCCGGCCGGACGGCGGTTCCTGTCCGGACGTCTGGACAGGATCAGGACTCTATATATATATATATATATATATATATATTAGACATAACCCAAAACACCCTCCACCCCTATTCTTTTATTTCTGGATTCAACACTTATTCGCCACTGTCAGAGACTCATCACTTATTGAAGTACTAGAGAGGTTTTCTCTAACACTTTTAAACACTTACTAACACTCCAGTTTTTAAAAAATAATCTCCCAAACAAGTGTTAAGACCAACAGTACCCCTCCACACTTCCATCACTAACACTTTCCAGCACCTAATCCAAACAGGTCGTAATTGTTCACATACTTTTAAATTCCTAATACATGTAGCTACTCTTGTTCACATGTGATATGTGTTTTCTCGCACTTAAAATAGATTGTAATATAGTGGTGTAAGTACGAGTATCGTCTCCACAGGGACGAACAAAAGGGAATCAAAGATTAACTAAATTCAGCGATTAGAAAGAAATAAAATAAATAAATGCAAGTGTGCGAGATTGATTGGTGAATTAAAATTAAATTAATGCGAATGAACGATAAACTAAAAGATTGGTTTCTTCTCAATTAACGATGAAGGGAACAGAGGTTGATTCCGGGGTAATCAGATTTCTGGCAGATCAGGCCTAATTTCATGAATTTAATTTAATTGAACATAGCTAATCATTACTAAGTTATTACCGCTCTCGCGGCGTAGAGTACAATAATTTAGGGGACCAGGTTGATCTCTCATGCGACAGGATCCTAAATTATTGCCAAGACGAGCGAGCTTACGGCCCCTTAATCGCTACTAATCTCCTAGCGAACGATTAATTGTGTGTGAATGTGTCCTAAAATAAATTTGATCTCTCTTAACTTATTCAACAAACAATTGTAATTCTAGTCGCGGTTCCAGGTTACAAAAGATATCAATTAAATTATTCAAACTCAAATTAAATGACATTCATGCAATTAAACCGACAAGAATCTAGCCATAAATCATGATTAACCCCTTCATCAATCCCAAATCCCTAATTAAAACTACTCGCAATTCATAATTGAATAATCAACGGAATTGGGATGAATAGAAATAATTGTCATTAATTAAAAAGATAGAACTTACAAAGAATCCCTTAATCTTGAAGAACAAGGCTTGAAAAGCTCTCAAAAGTCGAAATAGGGTTTATCTCTCTAAGCTCATAAGTCAAAAACAGGCAAAACAGGGGCCTATTTAAAGAAAAACTCAAAATCTGGCCAAAAATCTGGCCGCGCGCGGTCGTCTGATTTTCACTCCGCCCGCGCGGTGTGTGGGCGCCGCACTGTGCAACCGTGTGGGTACTTCTGGGGGCTATTTCTGGACCGCGCGGTGTGCGGTTTCGGCCGCGCGGTGTGCGGTTTAGACCCCTCAACTTTTTGCTCTCAGAATCGCCCGTGGGGCGTGCGGAACCGCACCGCGGGGCGCGCGGAATGCTCTTGGACCGTTTTCTTGCCATTTTCTTCACGGTTTGTTCCCGGATACTTCTTTAATCAATCCAAAGGCCGTTTCTTCATCAAATCTTCGTCGTGAACCTCCCGGTGGCCTCCGAAACTCTCAAATCTCTCTCGAATGTTCTCCAACTCTTTCCGATTGCTTCTCAAGCGTCGGTACCGGACTCTAAATTCCTGATTTTGACTCCAAACAACACAAAACTCGAACCAACGCTCGGTAAACATAACTTGAGTTAAAATTGAGACTTCAAACACCTTAAAGCTAGGAAAACCATCAAAAGCCGATCCCAACACGCATCAAATGCGTGTCTAAATACGAACTTATTAGATTCCCCCACACTTAAGCCTTTGCTTGTCCTCAAGCAAACTAAACAACAGGACTTACGATAATCACCACACAGAATCAAAACAATTAGCATGCACACGTAGTTAAAGGGATATTCACAGAACAGGCAGACTAAACCAAGAAAATTCTTCCCTAAACTACATCTTTGTACTCTAGCTAAAATATTTGACAAAATTATTCACAACATCCTCAAAGTAGTGACAACACACACAAATAAACTAGCTACCGAGTAGAAGGACTTGTGAAGACGGTGGTGAAGGGTGAATGGTAAGGATAAACAGTTCCTTTCTTGAGAGTTTGGAACATTCTAACAAAGACTCAATGCGTTCAGGAATTTCGGGGTTATTCTTAGGATCAAAGAACTTAGTAGGTCACAAATTAGGAACAATCATCTAAATCTATGCAAAGAGTAGACATGGTGTACAACTAAGCTAAACCGCCGCGGCACATTTGTGCTTTGACGTATACTTGAAGTACGCGGATGACTAAAGCTAATTTTTCAATAGCCTCCAAGTTCATTAATTAAGTTTAGTTTCCCTTGTCATGTTGGCACGAGAACGCCGTTTCTTTCGAAAGATACCCGAGTCTCATCTTACGCTTTTTGACAGGGGCTCCCATTCTCTTTTTCGCAAGGCAAGAGGTCTAGATATATTAATTTTTCACCTTTCGGATTCTTACTAGACATTACCCCATTCTAATCTCGGCCTCACCAAGGAAAAATAGCAATTAAAGTTCATTAATTCAAAGTGAATCCATGAATACAATGCAATCCTCGAAAATATCAAATTCCTAAAAGTGACTGCTCTTACCCCATTTGGGGCATAGGAACAGTGCCAAAAATGACTCCTACACACATTCCCTGAACTTAGTAAATTAATCCCCTAGTTCCCTAAACACCAAGACTAAGTCAGAAATATTCACGGGTGAGGAAACATAGGCCATTAATTGGTTAAAGAATAAATGGTCAGGCTCAAAGTGGCTTCTCCTAAAGGACTTTTTCTGGTGGGGTGGATGATTAATGGAATAATTTAATGGGTGACTAATGCATTCATCCTCTCAACAACTAGATTATAGTGCAAGCAATTTAAGCCTAAACACTTCAAAGATGTTCTAAAAACATAGTCAAAACGTTAGCCAGCTCACAAAGGCATAGTTTAAAGAAAAAAATTCACAAATTTTGACATGACTTTTCTACAAATATACACTAACACATGTGCATGCTAACTCTAATAATCACATGTAACAACTACTGCCCGAATGCCCAATTCACTCCCCCACACTTAAACTTTGGCATCGCCCTCGATGACAAAAAATGCACTATGCACAAGGGGGTAAAGAGGAAAGGGTCACACATGCTCAACTTAACTCGAGTCATTAGTACAACAAACGAGTAAAAGAGTCAAAGAAACTTCTCTAAGGCGTTGGTCAGTGCAGAACTAAACTGAGTCAAGTGATCCTTGGCACATCATCCCCAAAGCAAGACCCTGAGCTGCAAAAAAAACACACACACAAAAACAAACACAGAAAACAAAAAGTGCAGAAATAAGCTTGGGTTGCCTCCCAAGAAGCGCTATTTTTAACGTCGTTTGCCCGACGCAACTTCCTCATACGCTCTCAAATAGCAAAGACTGCGGTGGTGCACTAATAATCAATGTCTCCAGCTTCCTCTCAACAAATGCCATTAGGTGTCACGGATCTTTAAATTCTTCAGTCCACGTAGGCAGCATATGGTCTTCATAACCCTCATCAGCGCAGAAGTGAAGGATGAAACTCCCATCCTCTTCGGGTGGAAAGAGAACATGAGTGAAAACTTTGATTACTCTAGGCATCACCGGAAGCTCAAAACATGTCTCAAAGCAAAGATTAGAGACAACATTGTAATCAAACCACACCATAGAAAAGTCTCCTTCTTCCTCACAAATATCATGAAAATTCACAATCTCTCCTCTGGACTCTATATCACTCCACATGAAGGCATTCCAACTCTCGTTAACATCGTTCTTATCAATATCTTGGCGGATGTTGTTGTCATTCTCAACATAAAAAGAAATATCATCATCAAGGAGTGAATCAAAGATGCCCATATCTGAAACCACGAAAGAGTGGACCGGTGCATGAGTACAAGAGGGGAATTCTTGCTTGTGGAGCGGGACTTCTTCATTATGAACATCATGTAACTCGCCCTTACTCTCTTGGAGCATGTAATCATCTTTTCCCAACTCATATTCAATATCCAAACCTACCTCAGTAGCACCATCATCATGACTGGTCTGCTTCATGCCCTCCTCAGGTGTAGGGCTGCACATCGGGCGGGTTGGGTCGGGTTCACTATATTTTTTGGGCCTACCCGATTTGTTCGGGTTGGCTATTAACCAACCCGCGGTACGCAAAATAAGTTGGTAAACCATGCATGAACGGGTCGGGTAGGGTCGGGTATTGGGAAAAAAAATCACTTCGGGGTTGCATCTTTCATGTGGGAAATTAATGTAACCAATTTAAAACTCGATTAACTTGTTTAAAAAACAAACAAATACAAGTACTCGTATTTTCTATAAGCAAAAACTGTAGGTAATAGTATTAAAACATCCTTCCGTAAAGGAAGTTCATTTAGAAGGAAACGTAAATATATAATAATCACCTAGTCAAAATGATAAATCTTTAATTATAATTCTAATATCATAAAGTCCTAGATAGA